GCCAATTTTCTCGTGTCGAAAATATGGCAATATGGGTGTCCTTTCCTACCAAAATGGGTATCCCGGACGCGTTGGTGCAGTCCAATTCGTCGTCGGAGGTCATCCGGAGAAGTTCGCATTTTCACCCGTCCTTTGGGCTTAATTGAAGTCTGATTTCGTGCAGTTTCGTGAATTTCGTGTATTTGATGTGTGTATGTGACGAAAGTGGTCGTGACGATGTTTTCCCTGAGGCTTGAAGTCCTATTTGGATCATCTTCCTTGAATCTTTGCAAAATAGCCCATAACCGCTCGTTCATAAAACGATGGTCTTGTGCCAAAGATGCTAGACATCAAAGGAAAATAGGAATCGGCTGGAGCTTCTAGAAGGGTGAGTCTCAATTCTAGTTTTCTAAGATGGTCCATAGGGATTTCTAGAGCTAGAACCTAGACTCTAAGGAGGAGAAGAAAGAGACCTCACAAAAATGAGGTCAACACATGCAGGCTGCTCTCATTCTCAAATAACTCTTAGGAGTTTTCAATGCAACAATAGGTTTCACGTGCAACCTCTCATATCTCTTTAGATGTCTTATAAAGTAAGTGGTTTTCTCCAACACCTATGGTCATGGAATTTATCAACCATGACATGATCATATGATCATCAATTTTTCACGCCCGACATTTAGATTCAATCATTCCAGTGCTAAAATTTTGTATGTCAGATGCTCATCTTTTCTTCTGTGACAGATGTATATGAAGCGGATTATGACAATTGAAGAAAACTATGGTTATGCAGTTATGTTTTGCAGCTATGTCAGAGGATTTTTCAAACACGGTAGAGACTGAAGACGTAGGCTAGGATCTAGTGGTAACTTCTGAGGAAGAAGATTGTGAAGTCATGTCGTGTTTAGGCATGATAAGATTGTGAAACCCACCTCGAGAAGATTTGCTGCATGGACGCATGCAAGAGACATAGTTGTCATTCGAATTAGGGTTTCTGCTGCGTGTGCATACGAGAGAAACGAGCCATCATTCTGATACTATACATAATTCCCAAAATAATTTTATTTTTTGTTACCTAATGCATTACACTTTACTACATATATAATAATGAAGGAAACAAAATAGGAATCCCTCCAAATAGGGAAAAAAAAGAAAAATAGGAAATATAAAAAAAGGAAATACCATTAGTGGAATATATTCGGAAAGAAATAAATAAATTCATTTCTAATGCAGATTTGCACTTTCGTACATGTCTTTTTGTCATTAATGTAAAAGAATATTTAACTTTTCCCATAAACACTGGTTTATACTATTAAGAGTGAGTTGCGAGAAGAGCCCCAAGTTACGTATTTTGATACAACTTCTCGTTCTTAAGTTTATCATAATGAAATCCCAGCACTTATTGCTCTAAATCTTCTTTTCTTTCTGCTATTTTCTCTCATTTCTTTTCTATAAGTGCTAGTAAAGTTATGATATAACAGATGAACAACTCTGAATAAAAAAATTCTCATAGGTGCGCTAAATTTGAACTTATGCCTAGAGTTAGAAGGGATATCTTGAGAGCCACAAAGCAGCGAACCAGAGAAATTTTTTCTAACATGCAGAATCAATTTTTTATCAATGGAAGATAGCTTGCAAAGATGAAGAAGAATAGAAAAATGAATCAAGGCATTATTGAGTTGATTCCTAAAGCCACTCAGAATTCAATTGTTTTAAGCATCATCTGAAGGAGACACTTGAGTATAAGAGCTTTGCCTTCCACTTAACTAATGAGGATACTTATTATCTAGATTGTGAGCAGGACTCATCTTCCTTACATCACCAAGTAGTGAGATGAGTTGAGAAGTGAAAGTCGTCAACAAAGAATTTATAAATTTCTTATAAAAGCAAGTTAAATCATTAAAAGTAAATTGATAAAAGTTGTCATCAATTCTTTGGGCTCTAAAGATTATATCATCAACGACATAACAAACTCCATATTTATTGTTGTATAATGCAAAAAATGGTTACCACCTCCAATTTTGAAGAAAAAGAAGGCTCTAAAGATTATATCATCAACGACATAACAAACTCCATATTTATTGTTGTATAATGCAAAAAATGGTTACCACCTCCAATTTTGAAGAAAAAGAATATGATGAATGAAAAAGTTCACTCGAGTTGTTTGAATAACTTAAAATTGCAGGTTGGGAACCAAGTCCTGGAGAATTTAGATGTTATAACTTGACAGTCAGTGCTTGAAAAATTAGGTCCTACATAGTAGGGAGCTTACATTATCAAAGAGCAAGTCGATTGTAGATCACACCGACTTCAAAGAAGTCACAAGAATTAGGAGAATAGATGATTTCAAGTTCTTTTATTTTTAACAAATTTTTTCTCTTCTTCTTTTTTATTATCAAGATTTTTTTCTTGAATGAAGATACAATTTGAACATAAATGTCTAAATTTGTTTAAAAATAAAATTTTCATGATGAATTCAACTTTATAGGTGATTTCAACGAATATGAATAAATTATGAAATGTAATGTATCATGTATGTTTGCGGCGATCTAGTCAAACTAGGGGTGTAAACGTCGTTTATATTTCAAGCTCAAAAAGTGTGTTCGTGTTCGACTCGTTTGCTTAGTGAGCCGAACACGAGCTGCTCACGAACAAAGAGTCGTTTTGACAACTCTAATCACGTAGCCATAAGATGTTAAGGCTTGGGGCAAGATTTAAAAATTATTGTTTATATAAAACATCATTTGAATATAATTTAATAATTTTTATTCTATTTTCTTAATTAATACTTTTAATTAGTTATAATTCTTTATAGCCTTGGAGTTAATTAAATTTTTTAAAAATACTACTTATCAATATATATATATATATATACATATAT